GATAACATCGGGAAAAAGACATTCTTCCCTCAATGGAAGAGAAATTCTTCATGCTTTTGCAGAGTCTTTGCTTTCTGGCTGTGCTGGTTTGTAATATACACTCGTGGCTGAGTTGGAACCGTAGAGCATACATCCTGCATGGGGCACAGGTGCCACTTTGATAAGAAATTCATCACTCAGGATTAAAGGTAACAAACATCATATGTGAAAGAAGGGTGAAAAATGAGGGATCTTAGTGATATTCATGGACTAGGGGCTGAGCAGGTCCCCAGTGGAGGTGGATTCCCCAGCTGAATGCACATTAAGCTGCCACTGGTCCGTGCTGAGAGGAGTTCTCTGTGGGGCATCATTCTTGATGTCTTGCGGACCATTGCTTTTATTCTTGGTCTGCACCTCCTTTCCCTGTGGGCAGGGGTTTGTTAGACTCGAGCTAGGGCGGGGGAAGGTGAATCCCTTGGCGTTGGGAACTGTAGCAGTGCCAGTGTGAAATCCCAGCCTTGCCACACTCACTCCCTGCAGAGCTTGGCTGAGCTGCTCCACAGCCGACTGGCAACTGACAAGGACAGTGGGGACATGCACAGGGAGAGGAACTGCTGGTATCAAACTCTCTGTTGGGGCCAGAGGCAGGACTGGATCCTGCCCTCCCTCTGTGGACCAGGGCAGCTGCAGCTGCTGCCTGTGCTGCAGGCAGGGCTAAGGTTTGCTGCTGGGGCAGCTGGATCCTGCATCTGCTGGAGAAGCCTTGCTGTGACATGATCCTGTGTCTCCCCAGCCCCTAGGAGCCTCCTCTCCTCCTCCCTTGTAAGTGAGATAGGTTTTGTGGCATTACCTGGGCAAATGCTCAGTCCCCAGCCTCACCTGCCCCACACACAGTGCCATGGGGTTAGGGGCTCTGCCCTCTTTACTGGAACTGGGTGCAGTGCAGACTGGGCAGGGAACAGTGATCCTCACAGCACTTTGGAGACAGAGGGGGGGAGCATCCCCTGGATTTCTGTGGCTGGTGCAGTTGTGGAGGGTGCAGGATTAACTGACCCTTTGGAAGGGGACAGGGCAGGGAAAAAACCTCCAAAAAGACACTTGAGAAGTGCTGGTAATGTAGATCAATTCCCAGTCCTAAAAGCAGGCAGGGTGAGAATAGGACCCTATTTGAAAGTGTGGAGACAGACTGTGAGGATAGAGCAACAGTTCTAGCTCACATCTGATTCCTTCACTGCTGCCTGGTATCAAGGGAGCAGATTTTAGGGGATTCAGTAAAGCACAGACCTCCCCGTCCCTGGCTGCTTATTCCTGTGTTGACTGAGGTTCCTCTTGGCTTTCAACAAGCAGCTAATATTTCAATGCTGAGACATCCTCGATAAAGAGGCTATAGGAATAGGAAGGGGGTGGAGGTGCCAGAGACTTGAATATTCTTATGCACCAAGTCCATCTTTCATGGGATATAAATAGACCACTACTCGCCTGAGGTTTTTCCCCTCATTCATAATACTCAACCAGTGCTTCTGAAAGGAGTTCAGTCATGGCAATTGCTGGAATGAAACTCTTCACAAATAGGGATGACGATGATCCTCAAGCACAAGCAGGAGTTAAAGACAGTGATTCACATGCTACATCAGCCTGTTTCAATACAGCTGACGGCACAGCACGGTATGGCAGCTTCTGGGAACCTTAATGAAGATATACTGGTGAAGGCATGTGCACATGTCCTCAGTTCAGAGGCAGAAAGACAAGTCTGCTCCCTCTGTCAGCTCAGGAGTTCCTGGAGTTTGAGGAGATGGCTTCCAAGGCATTAAATACAGTATCACCATGTGTATTTGCACTGTGGCAGCACCAGCAATCCCAGGTACTGGGAGCCATACAAACAATGCAAGCGATGGTTTTGCCATGCTGAGCTAAAAAAGACTAGAAAGACAGAGGAAGATTCATTGTTTCTCTTTGATAGGTGGGAGTTGTGGGCTAAAGAGATTAAATGACTATATTTAATCCCTAGACACACATTCATGGAACAGTGTTCCAGGCTGGGAACACTCTTGCTGGGCAAGGCTGAATCTGGAATGAGCACATAGTTAGGGTCAGCTCCCATGGGCCAGAGCTGACGAAGGGGAGAGCAGTTTTTGTGAGAGGTTTTCAAGTGATGTTCTCTGCAGGTCAGAGCCAAGGCTCCGTGGAGGAAGAGCCCCAGCATGGGTCTGGGGAAGGTTAGGGGCTGTGATGATCTACACACAGCTGATTCATCTACCCTCTTGCACTCAGTGTCATGGGCAGACACGGAGCAATCCCACTTCAGCAGGTACCTTCAACCTGGTGATTCATCTGAGGCAGTACAGGGAAATGTCCATGAGGAACCTCATGAAAGGGTTTGAAACTGCTGCCTGAAGAGATGCTTTTAATGAAAACCAGAAAAAGTTGTATAAGGCTTGGAAATGCACCTCCCAGACAGGAAGTCAGTGAGGAGCTTCTCAGTCATCCCCAAAGGCAAAGTCTCCAACTAGTGATGCCAGAGGGTGTCTCTGGTCTAGCAAGCAGGTAAAGACCTTTTTTTTTTATGTGCAGCCCAAATTGGTTAAAAAGGCACATCTCCCTTAGCCCAGAAGGCTTGTAGTGACTGATAGCTTGAAGTGATCCTAGCTGTGGTGCAGAGGAAATACTTATGGGACCCAAATTTCATAGCCTGGGTCCACTCTGGCACCAGCTAACTCCTTTTGGCTCCGCAGAAAAGACCAAGAGCCTGAACCCATGGGCACAACCACCCTCCAACCAGAACAGCCTGTACTGCCTTTACTCTGCTTCTGTGACTTCAAGCAGGCATTACACCAGCACTGTGATTGCAGCCACCGGGAGCATCTCAGACTCCCAGACCTCTGCTCTCACCACAGGAATCTTCTTCCCTTTCATCCTGCCCAACTCCCAGCACCTCTGGGGAGCACCAGAGCAGCCCCCAGACCCTGTGTGGGTCCAGCACCAGGCATTCAGAAAGACACACTCACTGCTGCAATTGAGTCCTAATTCTCTGGAAGAAATGCAGCAGGATGTTTATTGAGCAGAGTGAGAAAAGCTATACCTAGGCAATAAAAGTTATTATGATAAAGGAACAGACTGTACTCTCTGCTCTCTGAACACTTTCTGACTCTTTGACAGCTTCACACCAGAATAATGCAATAAACCACACTTTCATTCTTTTTTTTCTTCACCAGAATAATGCAATAAACCACACTTTTATTCTTTTTTTCTTTTCCTTTGACTTGGCTTTATTTGGGAATTATTTGTTACTTTTTCCCAATACCTAATTCCACTTCCAAGAATAGCTGATTGGCCAGTTGCTGTGAGTACCTCAGAAGACTTTTTGGATCCTAGTCTTAGGAGACTTACTCCATAAACAACTTGTAGAACACAGAAAAACATAACAAGATTACTCCATAAACAACTTGTAGAACACAAAAAAAGGTAACAAGGTCACAAAAAAATTACCAAGTTCAGTTTTCCTCATATGTATAGTACAAATGCCAGTTTGTGGCATGAACTCATATCTCCAAATATGTATAGTACAAATGCCAGTTTGTGCCATGAACTCGTATCTCCAGCACCATCTGGTAAGGAATCGCACCTGGTCATTCAGTTAACAACATTAATTTAGTGAAGGTCCACAGTATTTCCTACAAAGAGATTCCCCGAGAAAGCATCAAATGATGCAAATCCAGGCTTTGTTGATCACTTGGGTCAGCTGCTGGACCAGAGAGAGAGGGACTTAGTCCCTTGTACAACGGAGCATCCCTCCTGACGCTCTCTGCTGCCTGCCTCCCTCTCCTGTGCAGCTGGCTCTTGCAGTCAGCAGACTGCTGTTCTTCATGGTGTGGAGAGATGTAGCATTCCTGGCCTCCAGCCCTGGCAAAGCATTCCCAAGATGTGAACTGAGAGATGCTCCAGGCCCTCCACACTCATCCCTTACCCCTGTTAAAACTGCTGCCTGAAGAGATGCCTGGGACAGAGACCTCCTCCACACTCATCCCTTACCCCTGTTAAGAGATGTCCCAGGCACAGAGCCAAAGTTGGTGAATCCCTCCCAGCACAGCAATAAGCTCAGTGCTCCACTGCTGCAAGGTAGGGCATTTGCTCCTTTGCACAGAGCTCTGTGCTCTGCCTTCAAGGAAAATATCTCCTTTTGCTCAGGACAGGTTTAGAAAGAAAAAGAATCCTCCTGGAAATTGGTTGTCACATTTGCAAGGCTCTTTTGTAAATATTTTCTGCCACCTCTTTTCTTCCCTGTTTTACTTCTTGTGCTTGCCAGGGTTTGTGATTCTTCCTGGAGGCCAAACTAAATATTTCTTTCCCTTTGTCTCTGCTCCCTACAACAGTGTGTTCCCCGCAGGGTGCGATGTGGGGGAC